CAGACATGAAGAAAATCAGATTGGTGTTGGCCAGATAAACACAAAGTTACAAAGTAGTCTTATATGTAGTCTTATCAACAGCAAAAAAGTGATGCTAAAAGGCACACAACCACAGTAACTAGCTAATAAAACATTTCAAGGTCAGCATCATGTTTAACTATTGTTGCACTCAAGTCTTTATGGTGTGCTCCATATTGATACATTGTTTGGATTAAAGTGTTAACCTTCTATAAATATGTGACTCCTTGTCCTTTCGTAATATGACACAAGCTAATGTATTTCCTCTCTTTCCCCTCTATTTTACTTGTGGTGGCCATTGTTGTGTAATGTCCACTGCTTCTGAAAAATACACATTTATGTATGTTTTCTTATGTCTATTCCTGCGCTGTATACATTTAAAGAAACATGGAACATAAATGAAATCAGTTTGATGAAGGTACTGTAATTTGGTTCATGTAAACCTGTTTCATTGTACAGGGGTGTGCTGATTCTAAATATTCAAGAACAGGAAAACTGCCAACAGTCAGGATTATGCAAGGTAAAAATGATTTGCAACATGATGAGTCACTGAACAAATCCTTCTCTTTTCTATTTTCTATTACAGCTTGTTCCTCTGCAGGGTGGGTGAACTGCATCCTATTCCAGCGTCCACTGGGTAAAAAGCAAGAAAACAGTCTTTCATCATGTTACCACACATTTCTGCATTAAGAGAAGTGTGACTGTTACGGATATGCCCAAATAGTGTAATAAGTCTTTAGATACAACATGAACAATTCCTTTAAGAACAAACAGCTTGGAAGCACATTGCAGTTAAACTTTCTGTCCCAAGGTGGAAAAAATATGAAACAGTTTTTTGGCTGGCGCTTCGCTGATATAAAACTTTCCCATTGCTCACAATCTCATTCAGATTTTGAACTCACTGCCTTCCCAGGTCCTGCCCAAATGCACTGAAAGCGTCTGACAGTTTAGAAGTACACCTATTGTTTTAAATGACCCCACTCCCACAAAAAGCATTAGAGGCATATCGCTTTCAGTGTGTTTGGTCCTTAGGACATGATCCATGTTGCGTAATAGACATTTGTCTCTATTTAGGTGGGGTCACCCTCTGACCTCTTTTTCTCAAAGACAGATCATGAGAAACTTCCTCAAATTGTTGTCTGTTGTTTAGCATACGCAGTCTTGTCCAACAACTTAATGACATAAAAACAAAATTGATTTTATCTAGTAGTTTATTTTAGCGTCTGAAGTAAGATTTTGTAATTTACTGAATTATCCTGTTTGTACACACAGAGGGTATTTAGATACCTACCAGCAAAGGTGGTAAACATACACAAATTCTTTGTTAAGTACTTGTGTAAGAAACAAGTAAAAGTGTACTTTTACTCATGTAAAAGTGAAAAAGTACAGGTTCTGACAAGTATAAAAGTAAAAAGTTCTGGTTTGTCTGACATTTGAAATTTCCCCATTGTTGGACTATTAAAGGAATATCTTATCTTATCTATTTCTACTGGCGGTTTCTGTGCAAAGCTAACCGAAGCTTCAAATAGGGTCGAGTCTCCTTCTTGTCTGTTTTGTCTGGTTACGTCTTTAGTACAGTACAGATACCTGAAAAAACTACTCAAGTACAGTAAAGTATTTGTACTTCACACACTTTCCTGGAGTGTGTCAAAGAAATAAACAATTTTATTGTACTGTGACCTCTAAATGTTAAGGCAGAAGACAAATGAACTGTGGGATCAGATATGATAGGAAGACTGTAGTAAATGGAATAACACAAAGTAAAATGTAAAAGCATTTAGTCATTTCATTTATTCATTCATAATGTAAATGTAGAATAATTAGATGATATTTTTTTAAATAGCATCACTTGAATGTAAATAATGTCTTATGTTGCTTTAAATGGCAATAGCTGATTAATTATAAATAAGGCAAAATTATTCTGGTAGCATACTCCAGACTCACTGGTCTCAAAGCAGCACAAAGTACATATCCATAGAACCATTTGCTTTGAATGATGAGACCAATTATCATCAAGTACATCTAACTAACTATTATCCATTCAAATGCACCGTTATCATTACTTTTTGGAACTGAGGGCCAATTTCTGCACATTTTGGTATCTACTTCTGTCTTCATCACATGACTCTGCCCTTCTGCCTTCAGTCTATTGTGCCCCTGTGAAAGTGACTTCCTGTGTCTGGTCCAAGATTGTCATTGTCAGCAGCATTCACTTCCTAAACAATTGCTTATCTAAATGCCTATTTGTGTTGCCTTGTGGTTGAGGTCACATGTATAGTTCAGCCTACATTTGGTCATATATACTGTACGCGAGGTCAGTTTTATGCAGTCACGTTTCCCACAGCTGTGATCTCTGCACATCTGGGTCTGATCAGGACTCGACAGCTTCACATGCTGTTTTTCAGCTTGTCTATCTGTGTGTCTTTCTGGTCACCTTTTCGATTTTTCCGCTTCTTTTCCTTGTTGAATGTCTCGGGTTTTGCCTCAGGTCTGACGTGAGTTGGTCAAATGATGGGCCAATTATGTGTCCAGTGTTTTTTTTGGTAATGAAGCTCTAAAATCCCAGAGTTCTCCAAGGCAAGGTCACTGTGTAATCCTACCTCTTGTGCTGATGTTTTAAATTTACATGAATCACTTACGAAGGCAAAATCAAATAGTGTGTGAATTCACAGATTCAGACACGTTTGCAGAGACGTACAAAGCTGCACTATATTCACACGCGTGGTAATCCTCGTCAGCTTCCTCTCAGACAGACAGGAAGAGTGGAATGAGCAGAGGAAATAAAACAAACGTAACACAAGACTTGACTGACTTTCCATTTAAACCCTTCTTAGCCTCAACAACCCCTGTACACACACACACACTTTTCCCTCCCTTTGTAGGGGCTGCTTTCCTCACCTCCCACATCACCCCTTGACCTTTAAGCCACCACTCATCACTTTCACTTTCTGCCAATCCTGGACCACACTCCTACTTCAACGCAGCTACCAATTACCAGTTACAATAATGGAGCTGGAGAGTGGCTGGAGAAAAACTTAATTTCTTCTCTGCACATGGGGTATTGCCTTTAGCAGCGAGAATAGCCTGCCTTTACTCAGCCTTTGGAGAGTCCTTTATCACAGTGACTATGAGGTTAGGGAATGGAAAGAAACCCTGGTGTTTGAGGGCAAACTTCAAGCTAATAACAGATGCAGAGCTGTAACAGCTGTGGTCTGAAGAGCCTGCTTGATGCATGGGATGAGGCTGAACTGTGACCCTTGACCCTGACAAACAGGCGACGGTTGATCATCTTGTCATCATGACAGGTAGAAAGACGTAAGAAAGGCACTTCTTACCACATCGAGAAAGAGAGAGAAAAACATTCAGGGTGGTCCTTGCTTGTGGTTTGTTTGCGACTGTCTTTTGCCTTTATGTATGCATGTTTATGTGTATACATTTCCTTTGGCATGCTTTCAAATTAGCTTCTACTCACATAGCTGGAATGTGTGGGCCACACTTTGTTTTGACAGTGTAAGGTTTTTTTAGCTACTGCTGCTGCTGCTGTGCTGTTCGGTGTATGTTCCAGGGGGTCTGCCTACCATATGTTACGTTATCCACATTGACAAATATACAGCAGCTCACATGGAAGTAAAGGGGGGAGACTGATGTAACTAAAATATACTGTGAGCTACAGTTTTTCTCACTTTTATTGAGGATGAAACCGCATTTGCTGTCATGCACCATTAGTTTGTAAAGCATCATTCCATGCTGATCATAAAAATGTATTGAAATGGTGTATTTGTCCAACTATAGCTGCTTTTTATTTATTTGTGAGCTTTGTGAGAACTCTACATTGGCAACTGCTGACATTTCTTCATTTCTCATGATCCCCATGTGTCCAGTATGGGTGTGTTGAGTGTCTGCATCAAAACTGCACACACACGTTCACACGAACATTAGTGGGTCCAACTGGCTCCTGGGCTTTAGTTTCTACCGACGAATGATGTAGTTGGTTCCATCCTGAGCTCCAGTTCATTGCTCACATGGACGTTTTCCTAGCAACTGCTTTTGTTTTTGTATTGCTACAAATCACAGCTCATCTCTGGGGTCTGGCATATGCATCAGTGAATGACCTATTAAAAAACTACCTGGCTTACACAACTGATCTTTTCACAAATGCATCCCATTAGACTAACACATGTTTATTTTAATGGTACCTACTATAAATTACCAATGATGGCCATCCAATTCTGAAGCAAGTTTAATACAAGCTTTTATTATTTAGCAAACAAATGAAATTGTACTAATCAGTATCTTTATATCCACAATGGATCAGATAACTATATATAGCTATATATAACTATATATGCTTGCTGCACTGCACCAGGCTGCTGGTTTCAGCTAAAAAGCAAAAATAAATCCACTCCACACTAC